AATTAAAAGTATTTGATTTTTCAGAACTCTTTGTTATTAAGAAAGTTTTTATAAAGTTTTCAAGTTTTAAAGAGACCACTGTAGAGCCTTGGCTAGCCCACACACCATCTTGCAGAAAGTTGCCTTAGATGATGGCATAACCACTGCACCCCCGAATCCTCAACCCAACCTCTATGGCAGAATCGAAGCTGCAATAAATAAAAGACGTTTCAGCCCTTTTGAGCCCTTTCCACAAAGAAGTCGCCACTCGGACTGGCCTTCTATGGGTATTCTTCTTCAATGTGGGTTTTGGTTTTGGTGTTGTTGCTGTTGCTGCTGGTGTTGGTGCAACTTGAGACTGCAGTCTGGGAATTGCGCTCTTGGTGGCTCCATCTCTTTGGGGTTTCTCTTAGGTTTTCAAACCGAAACCCCCCGATTTTCTCAGCTGGGGTTTGTTATTGTTTTTCTTGCCGTTTTGCCGGCTGGCGAGCGAACAACCACATGAATGAATATGAATATGAGTGCGTGGCTCTCTTTCTTACCCCAACTCGTCCCATCTCGTTCTATGGGCATTCGGTAACTTCGGTTCGAGTTTGAAACGAATCTTCGAGAGCTTCGTGTTGCATCGAACCTGCTCGATGATATCTTTTGGCAAAGGGGTGGTGGTGGTGACAAGAAAGGGGGCAATAGGCAATAACCGGAAACGGAAATCATATTTGGGCAAGTTCTAATGCCATCAACGATTGCAATTAAATGGCCAAATGCCAATTGTTTTAAGCCTGCAAAGGGGCAGGGATAGAGGTGCGAAAAAGAGACAACAGCAGCAGCAGCAAGAAAAAACCAGACTCTGCCATTAACCGTTAATGCACGGATCGTAAATCGAACTGAAAGGAAGGTGTGTCATGCGGACTTATAAATAAAATTAACAACCAGCCCAGCCAAGTGAGGAGAAGTGAGGTTAAGGCGGAAATATTTGCGCGACTTTGTTGCCTCTCGTTATTGCTTTCGTTGTTGTTGTTGCTTTTGCTGTAATTAATGGCAAACAATTACAAAAAAAAAAAAAAACAAAAACAAAAACGAGAGCTGGAGGAGAAAAAGAATGAGGCTTCGGAGTGGAATTACAGAATAAAAGGCGAAGAGCAAGTTAAAAAGTGAATTACCTGATAAAGGACAAAACGCGATTTGAGGTGTGTTTGCTGAGTTTCCACCGATTCCAAACCGTCCCACTGCGATTCCACATTCAATCCATCCGGTCAACAATGCGTGTGTCTTGGGTTAAGCACTGCCGCCCAGCATGGGTTCATCCACTCTGGACAGTGGGCCATAACTCTATTTTCTTTCATAATTTTGAATTAGTAAATCATTTATCTATAGTTTTGTTTATTTTTAGTTTTTCATTACTTTGTTCATACATTTTGGTAGTTACAATGCACCTAAATGTAATAACAAAAGTATTCGATTTACTTGGAAAATATTGTATTGACTCCACTGTATTTATCCTTTCATTATGGGCTTCCTGCCCCTCATGCCCCATCCCCTAACGGCGGTCAGTGTCCAGCTGACGCGCTTAATTAATTACGCGATTGTATTTGTGACTAACTGCTTACCTCCCTACCTCATCTACCGCTCCTTCCCCCTTCTTGGGCACAAAGTTTTGCGGTAATGCAATCGCTTGTTTTGGTTGTAAGAAGGTGGAGATGGGCAGTTGGGTCAATGGAATGTGGTGCGGGGGCAAGGACGTCCCGTCACTGGGGAGAAATTAATACCCACTTAAGCTTAACTGGACAGTTGCCGCTGCTCCGACTTCTTTTCCTGGCTAAGATTCTTCTTTCTTTTTTGGCCATCTGCCGAAGGTGATTCACAATGCGCATAAATAAACGCTTCCAAGTATTTCGATGCTTTATGCCAAATTTAACTTTGTTCTGGCTTACAACCCCCTCCCTCTGCAACTGCTTACCTTAACCTCGGTTTTGAGTAATTTCCCAAGTCCTGCAATTATCCTAGGTGGGTTAATATACCCCCTATAATGCAGTCGCCTTTTCTCGAAAAATTATGAAGTAAAAAACGTTTTTATTACCAAAAATTACAATGTGCGAACGGAAAGGAAGGCGGTTAACAGTGAAGGGGTCAATGGCAGGAGTACACTGTGAAAAAATCTAAGGGAAGTACATATAACATTAGATTTTTAAGCTTTACATACTATTAGATATGTGTTAATTAAGATAAGATACTTCAAAGTTAGAAGAATGGGTATTTCCGAAAGATATTTAGTTTTTAAACTTTCCTTTGAGATGCTAAAAATGCTGTAACCTAAAACTAAGTTTAAGGTTCTATATTGAATCCTATCTTTCTGTGCATAGTTCGGGAGTAAGGATCAGAGGTTCCTTCTGGTGTCCAACTGTCCTTTGGTCAGCCTGCTTTTTGTGATGGTTGGATAGTTGTGGGCCCGTCAGCAAATAAACACTCTAACCCCGCCACCGAGAAGAGCTGGCCTAGCAGGAGGTTAATTTCATTAGAAATTCATATTTTTTTGTTGTTATGTTTTGGGTTTCATGTATGTGGGTTCGATGGGTCAGAAGGGTCAAAAGGCGGTAGGGGGTAGGCTATGTCGAAGGGCGTTGCTTGGACATGTGTAAATGTGAGCAATAAAAAATAAATTTCATATTTCCAGCTATACGTTGTTGCTGTGTGAGTGTGTTATTATTGTCGTAATTTGTTTATAACGGTATTTATGAAATGGTCACAAGTCAACGCGTTCCAACAACAACAACTACTAGACAGGACTAACCCCATAACACGCACCAGGACTCCCTCACACCCCCTGAAAGGCCCCCTATCACCAATTATTCTTATTACGCCTATTACTACTTTTTTTTAACCACTTTCCATTGTTGTTGTTGTTTTTTGGGGTTTTTGGTCCCCCTCTAGTTTTCCCGCAGCTCCTGCTGACCTTTTATGTTAATCGCATTTGGCTTGTAACTCGGCTAGAGAGAGAGAAGTCTTGTAGCCAGTAATTGATATGCGTCCTAATCATGCAATCCTTTGTTACCCCCCACTCTGGACCTGATATTTCCGCCCACTTGCGCGGGGGAAAAACAACTTTGGCTTGTGGCTTGTTAGTTGTTGGTTGTAGTGGAAGAAGAAGTAATTACAAGCATTGCTGCTCGGCTTGTATTAAGGCTAAAATGACGTCAGCCCTCAATTAATGATCACAGGAAAAAACACAGGAATCACCGGGCATTATTTGCATAATTAGCGGTGAATCATATCTGTAATTATCTGTAAGGGATTCAAGTAGAAGTTAAGTTTACATTTTAGTCAAAGGTAGGTCTTTGTTAGCCAAGATCATAGTCTACCAACTTCGTTTTGAGATGTTATTGATAAAATAACTGATTTAACTTAATATACACTAAAATTTAAGCCACATTCTGTGTCTCAAAGTTTAGTTCTGCCACACCTTCTGTACTATATCAGCTTACCAATAACCTTAACCAGTTTTAGTTAAGTTTTTTGTTAGTTTCTACACCAAACTACGTCGCCGATTTGGGTCTCTCGCGGAGATCTGGCATTTGCTGGCTAATTAATAAACTTTCACATATCTGATTTCGGAAATCTTTTCACTTGCAGCCGCTTGAATGGTTTGAGATTTAACCGAAAATCGTTTTATGTAAATTATCAACGAAAGAAATGTGGAGAGTTATAAGTCGCAGATGAGTTAAAATGCCGTAGGGAAAGAGGGAAAGGGGGTTTTTTTCTGTATAATTTATTGCATTTTGATAGTTAGAGTTTAATTACAGCATTTCACTCCGCTGTTCGAGGCAGTGAAAGTGCAAGTGGCTGAGGTTTTAGATTAGTACCTGGCTGACCATTTTCGATTCCAAGGCTTGCGATCGGAGCCTTCGAGCCAGCGAGATTAACCTTTGACCTCCTGCCGCCCAGGTAGAAAATCGTGAGCGTAACAGTTGCACTTTTCCCGGTCGTGACCCCTTGGAAAATCATAAAACAATAAATCTTTTTAATATCTTCTCCTTGTTCTTGAAACTAAATTCTGTTGGCCTCTTTTTTTTTTGCTTCTTTTTCCCTCTGTTTTGTGGGCGTTCGTTTTCCTTTTCTTTAGCGTTTTTTTTTTTTGGTTTTGTTTTCTGGGAGAGTTTCTCACGTCCTTTGGCTTGGAGGGGGTGAGGTCAGCAAGCGTGGGCGTGGCCATTACTCAAGTTTGTGGATTTGAAGTAATAACTCAGTGCGTCATAAAAATTTTAATTGCTTTGGGTTTCTTCTGTGCGAAAGCAGTTCGGGTAATTAACATTAACCCAAAAATGTCCAAAGAAACAAAGCCGGAACAATGCAAAGCACCCACAGCAGCAGCAGCAACATGCCACGAACAATGAGGCAATAAAAATTGCAGCGCATAATTTTCCACCACCGGCCGAACCCTTTTTTTCTGGATGTTGTTATTGCTGAAAATTTCCACGCGTATCAGTAATTAGTTTGCTTATTGTTTTTCTTTTTCTGTTGGCTCTCTTTTTCGGGTCAAAAATGGGGTAATGTTTGGTACTAACCCTTAATCGCAGCACCAACTTGCCATGTCCAAGAAGGGATCTCCAAAAACTAAGATCTTTTCAGTTTGTACAGAACAAGGACAAAAGGCGGTCAGGCCGCCTTGTCAAACTGGAAATTTATATATGGTAAGATCAAAAGGGCCAAAAATTCAACAGCAATTGTTGCAGTTCCCCTGAGTGTGTGTGTGTGAGTGCTAAGTGGGTGCAATTAGACCGTTGAACGAACAGGTAAACAGGTAACCCACATAGAGAGTTTTGGGTCTGTCTGGAATTCGATTTCTCTGGGTCGGTCGATCTCTATATTGGCTTTGATCCTAAATGCAACGAATTGAGCCACGCATCGAAAGGTGGCAATAAATTCTGATTGCAATTGACACTTTTATCGCCGGCCCAAACGAATCGAGGGTCAATTTAAAATATCTTCTAATGGTCAACTGTTTTTTTTTCGATCTTTTGTTACAGAGGCTGAGTCAATTTCAAGCAGCTGAAGGGCGAAGAAGCAACTGCAGGCAGCAACATCTACAAAGAAGCAAGCTGCAACAGAGAGGCAAAACTAAATCAGATCATAGGAATCTTGTGGAACAGCGGCAGCGGCGTTAACCAGCAGCAGCAACATGTGAGTACCACTCAAATTTCCATTAAGTGGACTGGCCAAATCAATTCGCTAATTGAATGCCGCGCAATTGAAAAGCTTCTTAATGTTGTTAAATTTGAACGAGTTGGCATCCCCCTCGACGGGGCTGCTCTCTATTCCCTCTTTTGTACACCACCCCTTTCGCTGCCCCTTCGGTTAACAGTCTTAATAGAATCAAAGAGCGACGCAATATTACTTTTAATTTGGCGTAATTGTGGCGGTCTCAGTCTCCTCTAAGTCCCAATGCCTCACCCCTTGGTGCCTCTATTTGCTATAAAATACAGCTCACCCCCTTGGCAGTGCACAGAGAGAAAAGATTACTAAATCGAATTGAAATATTTGAATATCTTTGAGATATTTTTGAGGAAATCTAAGCAGGGTTCAAGAAAAAAGTTTAAATTAAATCTGTTAATCTAACTGTAAATAGATTTCTCTCTGTGTAACCCCTTCTTACTCCTTCTCTACTGACCACTCTGCGATACAGATTTACTCGTGTCCATCGCTCTATGGCAACAATAAAAAATCCAAATTCACATTCGAATTGGTCAAACATAAAGGCAAGACTGTAGAGGGTTAAGGGTGGGTGGGTGTTAGGGGGGAGGAGCAAGGCAAACGATGGAATCAATTAACCAAATGGCGCGAGTACTCGACAGTCGGCTGACTTTTGCATTGGTTAATAACCGCTTGCAAAAAAAAAAAACAAAATAAAAACCAAACGACAGACATATAAATAGAGAATTGAAATCAAAATCAAAAATATGTACAAACATACACATATATATACATCATCAAAAAGGGGTGCCATACCCCTGCTGTACCCCCTTAGCTATCCTCAAACCAGCCAACCTCAAAGCGAAAACCCGCAGTCCAAAAATCTCTCTGAGGAGCTTCAATTGTCTGCACTTGAGTTCAATTTCTATACGGTCGCGTTGGCTACCCAAAACCCAAAACGTAGAAAAACCAAAACCAAAAATGCTTTTAAAGCTCGCCTGCAGAGAGCGCAGAGATGTGATGAGGGGCTGGGGGGAGATATTTTCGTCATAACTATAAATTTTATTGAGATTCAAATGGTCTGCGTACAAATTTAGACACAATTATTACTTACTTCAATGACGCCAGCGAGTGTGGAATGAGGCAAGATTCTCATTTCCAAAGGGGGAAAATTCACCCCATGGGGTAGTTTTCAACTTCAAGTTGTTAGAGTTTCGGAATTTTAATATCAATTCCTAAGCCAAGATATTGAAACTGGAACTTGTAAAGCCAATAGAAATCAGATTTGTAACCTAGGAGTATCTATTGAACTGTCATTACTTCTTGGATTAAAATTGAATTGGCTTACTAGGAGATGTCAAAACAATCTCATTTAGCCTCCCCCTCCTCCACTAAATTTTCCACTTAATAGACAGTTCGTCAAATGACAATTACAACGACTTAATTACTTTTAATAAAGACGTCCGTATGTAGGCAAACGAGCAGAGAAAATACAGCTCTTCATTAGCGAAAAAATATACTCGGCCATTTTTGCATAATGCCTCATTATGCTAAGCCCAGAAGGAGGGGGTGAGAAGGGTAGGGGGTGCACTCGCCTTAATACATACAAATTGAAAATTGATGAATTTTTCCGGTATGGTGTCCGTCCTCCTCCCTTAGCTTCCCCAAACGAAATGCAGCTGGCCCCCAGGCAGGCCGAGAGAGTCTATCGCACTCGAATATCAATTAGTGCGGGTGGGTATGGGATTACCTCTAGATGGATCGATCGATCGATGGATAGATAGATCTTTCGATCTCTGGATCGATCTAACGAACAATCAATGGCAATTGCTGACGAAGGGAAATTACTAATAATAATGACTTTAATTGAATATTGCGCACTTCATTCATCCGCCTCCCGTTCGTTCGTTCTAAATTTGAATCTCGAAAACAGAAAACAGAGAACAGAAAAAGGGGGTCATACATATTATCCATTATAAACTTCCAATCGACCATAAACACTTTGAGAGAGGGTAGGAGGGATGGGGGCACAAACGGATCGATCCGTGGCAATGTCACAATGTTTTTTATAAATACTTACGGACCGGTAATGAAGTTCGCTTTGAGATTCGCAGGCAGCCGGAGGAGTACTCACTGAGTTTTCCCTTTCCCCCTGACAGCCGAACAATTCAAGCATGAAAGCAATTTTTAATTTATTTTGGTTGAGCGGTTCACTTTTTCCTAAAATTATGACATAATAGCTGGCATGGCATGGCCGAGGCATCCAGAGAGGAGCAGCGAACCACCTAATAATGTCATATGGAAATTTACGAGTACCGAACCCGATCGAAAAACCCGGACGGGGGACCTGAAATCTCATCGAGGGGAAGGTTGGTTGCTCTGGTCGGTCGGTGTGAACACCACCTCGAGTGTGGGAAAAGTATATTTGGATACTAATAATGCCAAACGATGTCGCTGGCGATGCCAAACACCTTCCGCTTCACAAATCATGAGTGTGTGTGCTGGACTGTGTGTGTTTCGATTACTTGGATTGGATACTTCGAGCCGAGAAACGTTGGCTGGCCAGTTGGGCCAGTTGTCTAATGTTGGCTAATGTTATAATTAACCTGACCGCAGCCGTCAACGCCAGTCGCATATCGATCCATCCATCAGTTGACCCCCGAACCCAATCAAAGCCAAGCCGCTTGGCCGGATAATCCCGGTCAAGACCTGAAAATCGGATTGACACTTTTGGTTAGGAAGCGATAATAGATTGTGTCTCCTGGTGGTTAGATTCTAGCTTGGCAGTTAGAAGGTGTTTGTAATGTGCTGATTTAATGTTTAAGATATATAGTATATATATAGATATAGGATAGATATGAATGATATTCAAAACAGAGTAATGATTCCATATTTAGCCATTCTAAAAGCAAGTTTCATATAAGATACTGTATCTAAAATCATTGAAGAACTAAAACAATGACACTATTTCATAAAATCTAGAAACTAGTTTATTTCCCAAAAAAAACAACAATAATTTTGATAGCCCAGAGGCCAAAATTGAATTGGCCACATCTGAATCGGATCTAGAAACAATTTAGTTAAGGCCCGTGGGCGAGGGAGATGGGCTAAGTATGTAAACACGATCATTAAATAAAACATTGAAAACGAACAAGACGCGAGACAATAAAAGCCAAACAAAGAGGCCAAAAGGGAAAGAGAGAGAGGCAGATAGAAAAATAGAAAAGGAGACAAGTTAACCAATGAAATAAACGCAAATTTAATGACAACAAACGCGCCACGCACAACTTGGCCAATACGCGTATTCCATTATGGCCAACAATCCAACCATCCAACCAGCCAGCCAGCCGCAGCACTTTACAACGCGAGATCGAATCGGCTGAAAGAGAGCTGAAAAAAAAAGCATAAAAACACGACGTCAGAAAACGAAAACTACAAAATGGAATACATAATACATAATACACATAAAGGCCAAATAGTGAACAATGAATTAAATGTTATAAGATGTAGATACTACGACGAGAGATACATTTGTATCTGTGCTTGCACGATCCACTGGCCGTGATCTCTCCTTCTCCACTTTTTATGGCTTTTCAATACCGAAAGTCGGTGGGCATACCAAAGGGAAAATTAATGCCAGTATATACATAGTATATATATATCTTGAGCTATTCTTACGGCCATTGTATCTTCAGCAGTCGTAGTTGCTTTCTCTTTGTGTTAATTGTATTCGAATAATGATGATGCTGGGTCGCTTGTTGGCCTGCATCTCTTGTATCTGGCGGATACTTTGGTCTACAGCTTTGGCTTTGGCTAATTTAATTTATGGCCACTTTATGTAAATTTCAAATACCACAGCTTAGCTACTCACTCTTTCTAACAAAATCTTTCGGCCAGCAGATCAATTTCTGTCCCAGCATCTTCAATTTCTTCTCTTTTAAGTTCTTCGTTTTAGTTTTTATATTTTTCAATATTAACCAGGCGACAGTTCATTGACATTTTGTCTATACATATGTATCTGTATCTAATATCTAGTTATGTATCTTTTTCTGTTGGTCAAAAGAAAGTTGAAAAGTTGGCGGAGTGACGGCATCTCTCAACTGGCATTTGCATAAATTTTGGCCACACATTTCTTGGCCATGCGAAACTAACAACTACTACCAACTAACAATAACAACCTCGGGCTAATTGCGGCCCATTGAGATGGCTATCGGCCAGTGGACTCGCCCCATTAAGAGAGCCATTTCGGTAAAGTTGGAAATTAATTAGGACAGGTTGTGCCTGAGCTTACTATATAGTAGAGAGGGATATATAGTGGGTGCCAATAAAAACGCATTGCAGTCTGTTGACTCTTATCGCCCCAAAGCGATCCATGAGTAATGGTCTCACGCATCTGACGGATGGCTGAGAGGGATCTGGCCCCTCGTCACCAGCCCATTTTAGAGGCCATTTCAGGTTTAAGTTTCGATTGCGTTCGCGATTATTGCGCTTCAAAAATTTGACTTAGCTTGCTGTTGTCTTTGGGCATTTTTATTTGCTCATTTAATTTCTGAATTTCTGAAATTACTCAATTAGTTTAATTAGCAGCTGGCTTCGAATGCCCCGTCAATGTCTATCCATGAAATAGATCGCAGATTTGTCTAAGCTGAGTGCACTGAGATGAAAAAGAAGGTAGTTGGAAGGTGTCTTTAAAGGTGAATAGGGGGAAATGGGAAAATGATTTTGGATGATTTTCGGGTTAAATGGGATATGAAAATATGCTTAAATGCTGCCTTAACAGGGATATCATTCTGAAATAAGATGTTTTTCCAGTTTAGCTTCCTAACATTTTCTAAAAGTGTATCTCACCTTGATTGATTTTTGCTTTAAATGTAATGAATTCCCCTGGGATCCATCTCGACACCCAGTCTTCGGCCTGATATAGTTGGGCCACTCATCTGCATCGCCGCGACTTGACGTCAAAGTCAAAGGCGACTTTGGCGACGGTCATTTGTCAAAATCATTAATGCAATTACGAGACCAGACTGAGACTGAGACTGCGAATGAGACTGCGACTGAGGGCTGTCTTCTGGCCTGCTAATTATTTTGAATTATTCAATTTCATGTCTCAATTTAAAGTCTCCGAGGCAATTAGGAAAAGTCGCTGCTGCCAGCAGAGTCGTCTTCTCTTATCGTTTTAGTTTTTCCTTGCCAGTGCCATTGAGTGGCACTTTGATGCGTGTCCAACTCGATAGGGGGAGGGCGTTCTGGGGGGGGTGACCAGAAATGCAAATGAGTGTATGTGAGGCGAACGAAAATAAAACCATTTAAATAATTGAAAATCGAACAAATCGCGCTGGGAAAACCATGATGAATAATAAGGAAAATGGAGATAGCAACGCATGCAAATTCTGGCGGTGGCGTTGGAAACTTGAAATTCTAAACAAAATGGTGTCCAACAACTATTGCGTTTGTATGCTAATTTATACATCTGTTTTTGATATGTGTTTTAGAGAGGGAGCGTGAGAGAGTTTTTGGTTAAAAATCTGCTGGAAAATACAACCAAATAAATCGGTTATAAAATGCCAAAACCAAACAGAAATTGTCAGAATTTCAAACTTGATTTTATTTTAGCAGTATATATATAATATATTATATCTCCTATAGTATTGGTAATTATTTCTGATTTTTAACTAGATTTTTCGATAATCTTTGAGCCAATTTGAAAAGAACTGACCAAAGGCCTGGCTGGCTGGCCCCGTGTGAATTTCACATCTCCACTCACGATTAACGAACCAAACCCACCAAATGGTTTTATTCGAAATAGAAAACATAGATACACACATGCATAGGCATAGATACGTTTGGTCCGCAAATGCGTGTTAGATTGCTGATGTGCAAAATCTAATTAATTATTTCATTAAAAACGGCATTTTATTGACATTCTAATTTGGATTTTTAGAATATTTCGTCCTGCTGTGTAGGCTATGTGTGCATGTGTATCTGCTAAACCTATGTATAGTTGCTATATATATATATAAGTATATACGAGTATGCTTGCAAAAACCTCCCCCGCAATCATCGTGTGGCGTGGGCCTGGTCAACGTGGCGGATGAGCGATTTTAATTGGTTTTTAACTAATTTGCCTGCATTGAGCGAGGTCCTCGCCACATGCCCCTGCCCCTAACCCCTCTAAAAAAAAAGTGTATAAAAAGCAAGGCTAAAATTAGAGCGGAGTGAGAGGTAAGAGGGCCGGTGTATTAGGCCTTGCCGAAATTGCATTGTTGACATCGCAAATAATTCGATTTGACATTTTGTGCCAAAAATTTAAACGAAATTTCAGAGGAAAACTAATCAGGCAGACTGCTAAAGGGAATAGAAAATTTAAAAAATATTTAAGAAGTAATATTCCAAACTACAGTAAACCCCTGAAAACTGTCTCATCCTAAACCAATTTAACTCAATTTCCTGATTTTATGTTCATGCGTGAGTTTGGTTTATGTCTTTCCCCCAAACACTTTCCCCTTATAAGGACGAACGCCCCCCAACAATGAAGTGAAGTCATAAACGATATAAACATAACTGTAAAAATAATGAGAGAAACAAGCAGATAAAAAAACACCACACACTCACAAAGGAAGCTTGTACTTTGGACTTTGTGTACATTCAAATGATTTTCCCACTGACAGCTCAAATGCAAATCGTAAAAATAACAATCATCATCATAACGCGCCCTCCTGACTGCCTAGCTCCTTGGGAATCCTAGTTAGAAATGGATAGATGGATGGATGGAGTGTCTATGTCAGGGGAAATGGTGGTGTTTGCAAGGGGCTAAAATATTTACCAAGGAACTTAGTTCACTTGCCAAGGCGGAGAGTATCAATTTACCAAAAATAACAAAGCGAGAAAGTGGTAGTAGGTTGGATGGGTTTTTAAGTCACTTTGTTTTCAAATATTTTTTATTGATTTTTCATTTTCTGTATCTTGTCTTATGCTTAAGGAAAATAGTTTAAAATCACTATAGAAAAATATTATTTTATTTTATTTTTGCTGTCACAAAGTGCTCTCTTAGTCTGATATACCCTTCGGGGCTTAAGTTTTCGGGGCATTCAAATAGTTAGTACAAATTGTGATTGTGCCCATGGCCAGCAGCCTTTGTTGCTGTTATTTCCGCAGTTCTAGATACGCTGCCCCCAACCCTTCTTCATACGCGTGTTTGAACAGTCATATATATGTATATATATGGTGGATCGTTATATATATATATCCTGATGGGTGTGTATATATGCCTAGATATCTGTGTATTTGCGGATGATTGTGTGTTGTTTAGTAATTCGTTTTTTATTTACCATTATCATTTACATTTATTTGTTATTATGTTACGCTCAACTCCCCCCAGGACATGCCTTCCTTCCCCCTACCCCCCTTTCAATTACACATACACACACACACATCGGTTTTTGGCCTTTTTTGGCCTGCCAAAACGCAAATCGTGAAATGTTTTGTTTTTAGGCACCACTGCCATTTGAAAGTTGAACATTTTTGAAGTGTGGCATGCTGAATGCAATTGCGTCCTGCACAAACACACACACACACACACAGTCACACATATCCTGCTGATTACATGTGAAAAGCGTATTTGTTGCTGACTTTTTTGCCCCCTTGTCCTGCCCCTTGGCCCGTGTTCATTTACATATTTTTCGGTTACCAAGCCGGAAACTATCTGTTGTTTTATTTCGTTGTGTCTTGGCCGGGTTAGTTATTGTATTGTATGGCGCGGTGGCATGGTGGCAGTTGCCCCCTACCCACACCTACCGATTTATGCGATGTGCGAGGCAAAGCGAATGTTTGTTCAATAAACGAAATAATTGCCAGCAAATGTGTTATGATGAAATTGTTTTGGGTTACTTCATAAATTAGCGCAAACGAAGGCACGCAGAGGGTGTTACTAGGTATTGGTTATATACTAACCATTATATACTACCTAATGGTACTTACTTACCTTGAACAATCTTTGCATTACTAACTTGGCCAACGTAAAGTTCCCCTAACCACTTTAATCATACACCACTCACTCATTGCACAATTAACCCTTGCATTGCTGGTCCAGCCTACTGCGATTGTCTTAGTCACGGCCAAAAGTGATGGCCATAATCGAGTTTAAAAAGCCCCATCATTAATCAAGTCAACGACGTGAGTCAGTGAGTGAGTGAGTGAGTGAGTACCCAAGGAAATTGTGAACATGATTTTCCAGCGGAATTCCACATGAACCATGAAAAATTACCAACCTGCAACTGCAACTGCAGGCGCCAATTGCAGGCTAAGAATTCGAGAGCAGGTGGAGTGGGTAGTTCCGCCTCTCTCTTAAGATTCAATGTATTCCGAATCTTCCATAGCGCAGGGCCAAAGTAATCCAAGACCAGCGGCCCCGAGATGAATGCGTTTATAAATATTTTGATGGCGGTACATCGATCAGGTTGGGATCAGGTCATAGAGCGAGGGGCAGGGAAGATGGATGGATTGTTGGTGGTTAGCTCTTCTAATGATCTTGTACAATTATTTGGTTGGTGCACTGAAAGAAATTATAATGGCTTTTTGGGAGTAAGAGGTCTTAGAAATCTTTTTCTCTTCTAGTTTCAGTTTATTACTGATTATTAGCTAAGATATCTCTCATGATACTACAGGCACCTTAGGTTAATCGTTAGAAAACCCTACCATCTTTTTCTCCAAGTGCATGTCAAAGATCTCTGGAGTGGCGGGCAACTTGAGCTCCATTGTTTTGTGGCTTGTAAACGGTTAAATTAAATTGATTTGCGTCTAATGCCCCCGACAAGTGGCCCGTTGGTCTGGTCTGGTGGTGGTTCGTAGGGTCCGTCCCGGTCCGGTCGTGTAATTAATGGTTTCATTAGACCAACCGCGGATCCAGCGGCAGTCAGCGGCCCGGTCCCGCTGCTTATGTATGAATAATTGGTAATAATATTTAATGATTGGCCCACCTGCCCGAGCAATTGTATTTGGATTTGAGCCATTCGAAGACTAAACTCAATTTCTTTTTCTCTTTTTTTTTGCGTTTTCCTTTTCCAGCTTTTAGCTCCGTCCATGGGCGCCGCGGCATATAGAGTCCGGTGAAAATGGACAAAGGCCGCGCGAGGCTGCCGCCGAATTAACAGAGAATCCGGAAAATCCACACACGGACGGGCAGTGCAAATATTTGCCAGGCTATCACAAAAAAAAGAACAAGAAAACACACACCCATACACACACACACACACCTAACAAAGGGAAAGCATTTGAACGACAATAGCCAAGGAATTAGCCACAAAAGAAGGAGCAACCGGGTCCATTAAGACAGTCACAACCCCATAAGATCCCATACCGGCTAGACGAGGTCCACTTAAATGACCGAATCCACCCAGCTCCAGACGGCGGAGAACAACAACGCGGGCGTGGTCAAAATGGAGCCCCCGCCGCCGGCGACCTCCTCCGTTTCCGTATCCGCCGCCGCAGCCGCCCACGCCCTGTCCTCCCTCTCCTCGCTCTCGATGGCTGCCACCGGATCCGCCCTCTCGCCGGCCACGCCCCCGCCCTCCTTGAATCTCTCACATCAGCAGCACTCGCAGCAGCACCAGCAACATTACGCCCTCAAGTGGAACGACTTTCAGACCTCGATCCTCAGCTCTTTTCGGCATTTGCGAGACGAGGAGGACTTCGTGGACGTGACGCTGGCCTGCGATGAGCGCTCCTTCACCGCCCACAAGGTTGTCTTGAGCGCCTGCAGCCCCTACTTTCCGACGGCTGCTCAAGGCCAATCCCTGCGAGCATCCGATCGTCATCCTGCGCGATGTGCGATGCGACGATGTTGAGAATCTGCTGAGGTGAGTTTTAGTCTTAATTAGGGGTTAAGATAAGGGTTAAAGTTATGTTTATTTTATATTATTTATTAAAATTTTAGCTTTATGTACAATGGTGAGGTGAATGTGAGCCACGAACAGTTGCCCGACTTCCTGAAGACCGCTCACCTGCTGCAGATTCGTGGTCTGGCGGATGTCAATGGTGGCTATCCCTACTCCAAGGCCCTGTCCGCCGCCTTGAGTCACAGCAACAACAGCAGTACCGGCAACAACAACAATAACAATAGCAGCAACAGCCTGAGCAACAACAACAATAACAATAACAATATAGCCGAGAGCAGTAATCACAACAAGATCAGCAGTTACTTGCCGCCCAACCAAACCAGCGCCTCCAGCAACAACAATGGCAGCAGCAACAACCACAGCAGTGGCGGCAACAACAGCAGCAGCAACAACAACAACAGCGGATCCCTAAACAGCAGCCTGAGCTCCCCATTCAGCGCGCCACAAATACCGCCACCGGTCACCGCCTCGAGTGCAGCGGCCGCAGCAGCAGCAGCTGCCTCACTCACCGCCGCCGTGGCAGCAGCAGCGGCAGCCACAGCCAGCAGTGGCAGCACCAGCGGTCAGACAAGCGGTACGCCCGCCATTCAGGAGCTGAAGGCATCGTCGGCAGCGTCGCCCGTAAGAAACCCGAACCCCAATCCCAGCAAAGTAAAGTGTGCAGTTCCAAGAAATGCAAGCACTCGACTTGGTTGCTCCTTTCCAGACTTTAACTCACATACGATATATCTTTATCTTTCTCCCCCAATCTCTATAGGCCAGCAGCAGCAACCACTGGGACATGGGTGAGATGGAGGGCAGCCGGAAGAGCCACCTGACGCCGCCGCCACAGAAACGCATCAAGAGCGCCGATTTGTTCCGAGCCCAGCATGGCATCAGTCCAGAGCGATTGCTGCTGGACCGCGAGTTTCCCGTGGCCGGACAGCATCCTCTTACTCGGAACAGGAGCGGTCGCGATACTTCCAAGGACCGCGAGCGCAATATGGAATTGAGGGAATCGTTACTGGGGCAGGCATTGGAAAATAGCAACGGACAACAGGCCAATCAGGTGGGTAGCTTTTTCAGGCGATGGAACTATAAGGATCTTAGGTTTAAGTTTAGATATTTATAACTTTCGATATTCCGTATCCATCACAGAAACACGATCTCGGTCAGAGCGCGGGCGAAGATTCGAACAGCAGTGATACAGAGCCCTCGGACCGGGGCGATGGTCAGCACGATGGAACCCTCGATGGCATCGACAATCAGCGCTCGCACTCGTTCCCCAATGCATTCCTTGGCCTCCAGGGCATTCCCGGCCTTCCTGCCAGGACCCTCCGGCATCAACAGTGATTTCGGTAAGTCGAGTTTAGCCTATCAATATCTTTCCTTCATTATCGATTACAAGCTTGCCATTCGTTTACACTTTATGATACGATATCAAACTATATACATATATAGATATATATGCCTCTTGAGTATGATTTACATATCGATTGGAAGAGGAGATAAACCATTACACATATGATTTGCATTTTGCCGGACATGTTTTTGCATAGTAACTAACTGTCGGTTTATCGATAAACAATTAGGGATTACACGTAATTAAAACAGCAAACTAATTGGCAAATAACGAAAATGTGATTTATTTCCTAAGGCTGCTAGGAACGCAAAAAAAAAGTGATACATAAATTAGAAATAAAAACAAACAAAAAACAGTTATCGATTAATCGAATATGTGCCTGTTTTGTATTATTTATAAAGCCAAAAAAAAAGAAGAAAACTGATATTTGTATATGATTTGCATTATTTTCTATAGATATTAGGAAGTAACTAACTATCAGTTGATGATAAGCCGATAATGATCATCGTAAATCAATCAATTGGCGAAATAATGAATCTAAATTACCTATCGATTACTTATCGGTTTATTGCTAATCATTGCATTCAATATTTGTGTGTAAAACTATTATAAATACCATCCTAAGTCGTAGCATTAGACTAGCATTTAAGCAGTGAAACTCACAAAACCTTTCCTTCTAATTCGAATAATATAAACAAGCTTAGTTTAACCAATGTTCGATTCTAACGAGCTGACCAGCCCATAAGAGCGGCCATCATTAGGCCCATAACCAACTGTCGCTGTTAGCTGGTTGGTAGGGAGAACCTCGAAACCAGATCCCATACAAATCCCCTGCCCAATCCCGTCCAGCGTGCCAAGAAATATGCGCGAAGCACGTGTCGCATTAGGCCAGGATACAGATATGTAACTGTTGGTCAGGATATTCCAGCGTGTGATTATAAACACATTCGGCTCGGGGTACGTAATGTCCGCTTGGCCATTCACGTATGTGCAAATGTTCTACATAACGGGCGGCAAAAAATGATTATTGCCATTACCAAACACTATTGCTATCGACATAACTACGGCTATTGCTATTGCTATTACGGTTATTGTGATTATGATTACCATTCGATTGTGGAACGGAAGGATGTGTTGGGATAACTTACACTGAAAGAAAAAGAGGTCTTAAGATGGCATTATTTCTAACCTTCAAACTGCCTTAACTTTCTTAACATCTACTGGCCTTTCTTCTTAGTGCAACGAAAAGGCGTTACAAATATGATTTGACCGAAACCTTATTCCCAGCTCCTTTCGGCTTGTTTGTGCTCCTTAAGCACATGACACGCACTTTGTCCGATGTCGCAAATGTCGCATTTAACGCACATTAAAATGATAATAGCCCCGGCTTCAGGAGCAGAGACCAGCCAGTCTCCTAACCGAATCCTAGACACTCTAAGCCCCGCGTGTCGCTTAATATTCAAGGCACATAGATCATTGCAACAAATGTTGGCCAGCACTTGGTCAGTTTAGTTGGGACTTGAGAGAAAAGAGAGAAGGGAGAAATCAAATTTAATAAAGCATAAACATTCAATAAGCTTCGGAACGAGCCAAAGTCATTTGAAATTCCGAGCAGTTACGGTGAAGGGGCGGTCCTGGGATCCCGGGACTTTTGGCCATTTCGAAATCCGAATCGAAAATATTAACGGCCCGAGCAAAAAGGATAAACTTTTGCGCAATGATAAAAATGATAAGTTCTTTCTTTTTTTTTGTTGCTGTTGCTGTTAGCCAGCCTTCTGTTTTTCCTGGCCCTGTCCGCCCACTCTGCTAACCCTACCCCCTCTCTAAGAGAGAGAAAAAAGGGCGACACTCGAGACCATACATATTTAGATTTTATTTCGTTTTATTGCTTTTTTGTGCATTCGATTTATTTGGTGGGCATTGGCAATGGCCGAAAACGGACTTGGAAATTGCGCACATGTGTGCGCAAGGACTTGAGAGCTAAGGTTCCTTCCCCCTTGCTCCTGTCCCCAGTAATATGAGTTGGGTTTGCATTTTAATATATTTACTTCCCTCTCTCAACTCCGCCCCCACAAATGTCACACACTCGCAATCAGATGCGGGCCCCGAAAACTACAAAAGACGAACGAGAAAAAGAGGAAAAAGTTTACTTTGCAAAAATCCATTGCAGAAACATTTATAAAGTGGCCCCCCCGGCCTGGCCAAAACCTAGAGCTAGCCCGAAATTGTCTTCGAGGAGTGGGCACAAAAAGGACTAGAATAACATAAGAAAACATGCACTCAGAAAAATTTGAATTAAGTTGAAGTTATACAAATACTTTTACAAAATTTTACCAAATTTAGATTTTTAAGAAAGAAACCTAAAGATTTCCCTCAGTGTAGTCAAGGAACTGTAGGACAGAGAAAAGCTGGACTCTAGGAGGCGTCTTCGCTGTCGTTCGCCGAGGACATTTTAAAATGAAAATGATATCGGGGAGACAAAAAAGAAAGCGGACAGCCAGGCCGGCGGCTGCGGCCTCGTCAGGTGGGTGGGATGTGGTCCCAGAGGTGGCCCAAACATTGACAGCAAATAAATGGCAGCCAAAATAATAACAGCAAAGGGGTGGCGTTGGTGGTGGTGTGTGTGTGTGTGTGCCTGTGACAGGACCAAGGAGGATGGCTTACTTCAAATCAGCTAGATCTGAGAGAGAAAAAAGAGTTAAAGAAAGAAAAAAGGATTCCTGGCAGCAAGTGCGATAGGTGCGAATACTGCATTTGGCGCCGCCGACGACGATGACGACGACGTGGGCGAAGATGTAGAAAGAAATCATTGACATATGAGGCCAGTTGCTCATTTTCTTGGCCAGACCAAAAGATGCAAAAGTTTCCGGAAGTTGAAGGGGCGTCCAATGGGCGTGGCAAAGGCGGAACAGAAGTTGGCCGGACCAACTGGCGCTGTCTGTCTTTTGGGCATTTTTGGCATTTGGAAGCTAATGCGCAAAGTTTCTTTCGATTTGGTTTGCCCAGCTATTTGCCAGCTGCTCACAAATGCATTTCTTTGGTCTTCGTCGCTCCCTCGTCTATCTTATGTCATTTCCTTCGACTGCAGAGCCAAGTTAAGGAAAAACTGTTGGGCATACATTTTCCATGTGATCTAGATGATTAAATCGCTTGTCTGCATTTGTCATAGTGGCTTGGGTAACTAATGTTGCTTAGTAGAAAGATTTTTGGTTATGAGATGAAGGGAAAGTAGTTGCAGTATGTATTAATAAGCCACTAATTACCTCTACAGATCGATTTGATCACTGCTGTCAATTGCATTCCTTGTCCTAATTATCTTTCTGATCTATAAACTGCTGAGTCAAAGTCCTCAGTACCAAGGAAAAGGATTAGAATCTGCTGGAAAGATAACTTACTTAGGAGTGTATATATTGGGTTTTTAACTCCCAGCCGATATAGACATTTAATGACGTACCTTGACTAACCCCCAACTTTACCTTTTGCACCCCCTCTTGATACTGCGTGAAATGCGTAAAATTAGCAGCCGGCACAGCCAAGGCAATAAGCATGCGAGAAACATTATTTTCCGGCCCAAACAAAACGCACCCAGTCCGTCGGTCGGTGGGGTTTGGCTTAGACTTCATGGATTTCCATCGAAAGGTGCGTGCTAGGATGGCTGGACTACCTTTTGCCCTTACTCCCTGTGTATATACTAGCTTTGTTGGCGTGTTTGCATTTAATAAATTCGATTAACAACGGAATAAATACGCTTAAATGCGGAAAATAATGAAAACTAACGAAAAGCGTTTTGTTAGCTGTTCTCTTCGGCCCTTTGTCGGCGTCGCCTGGGCGCCGCTTTCATTCCATCCGGCATTCAATCATTCATTCCATTCAGTTATTCATTTTACGAGCTGTGTTATTATTGTAAATATGTGTGTTGCTAGTGTTGTTGTTGTTGTTGTTGTTGCTATTGCTGTAACAAATACAAATACATTACGTGAATAAACGCACCCATTATTTCATTTCATCAAGAACCATTAACGCCAACACGCCGCACACTTTCCTACAAACACACTCACACATAGTTACTGTATCTGCGGGGTCCTTATCGAGTAACTCACCGCGCCTAGTGTGGCCAGCTTTGCTTATGGGTCAGCCCACCTCCTCCCCATCCCTATCCCTATCCCTATCCCTCTCCAGCTGCTGCAAATGAGCGAAGGACATGAAAATGTTCAAGTATAGTCAGCTACACACACACACTTACACTCACTCCTATGTGGGGGCCCGCAAAACTTTTGCCCGGATAATGAGTAAAATGATTGGAAATACATTTGCAGTGCGTGCGGCTGTCGCATGTATCCGTAGCTCTGTATCTTTGTATCTTGGTCCAGCTTCAATCGTTCAATGTATCCTTGTCCAAGACATTGTTATGTCATCATCTCAAAGTCGCTCGGCAGGGAGCTGTGTGGAAAAGGTTGATGATCCCCGCTCATGAACCGGTACTTAACTGAGGGAAATTCATTTCCTTAAGTTTGTATGGTAGGAGAAAATTAATAAGGGAATTGCCTATGTATATTGGAAAGTTCTTAAAGGGATAAGGATATAGTAATCTTTATAATTGTTTAAAGTTCATCATAATTTAATCTGATCTAAACATTGGCTTGTCTGTTAATGTCTGAAACTTAAACTTAAGTCCTAACCATTTCTTAGAAGAACTCACTTTTTGCCAAGTCCAAGTTGCCTGAAATAGTTGCAGATAATTTTCAAATATATATGCACTGATGGCTTTATATATTTTTAGACGGCTGCCGAATGCCACGCCCGCCTGGCTTCGAAAACTAAACAAAACAAAAATGTTATCAAATTAATTTCAAAAACTCCATCTGCTGCACGTCACACTCAAGTGAGTGTGTGTGTGTGTGTGTGTCGTCTATCTCTATATATATACAGGGATATACACTGGCCTACACAAGAGTAGATTTATATGTATATGTATGATAGAAGGACAGGCGGGAC